TTGTATTAGCAACAGCTGCAGCCATGAATGCATTAAATTTAGCCAAAGTTTTTGTTTCCCACTAAAACAATCAAAACTAATTGTGTTACTATCTAAACTGAATAGCTTGAGTGAAAATATTGAGTTTTTGCTTTACATAATGTATCAAACACGAGTTTAAATGCTCTTCATTTTTAAGTGTTAAGTATTTACCTCTTCGTCTGTTTTTGGATTATCATAAAGTTGTGGTGAGCCAGTAAGACAATAACAAGCAGAAACGAGCATATCAGCTTTTCGATTCTTGTCAGTTTTTTTATCAAAAAAACATATATCACGAACATAAGCAAGCCCAAATTCGGGCATAGCATAGCCACCACCCATACGTCCATATTTTAGATCAAGCAATGCTCGATAGCCATCGGAATTGTAAAGTATAATTTCTTCTTGTGCCCCTAATAAATAGAAAATATTCATTTTGATTTGACTAGCAGAATAAAATAGTTTAATGAGAAATTAATTACAAACAAATGTTATATATATGGGCAAAATCATTCATTAGCGACATGACTTTGCAAAATTAGAACATTTGTATCTCGGGCTAATAAGCTTTCCTAAAGCTAATTTATATATGTTACATCTATGTTAAGTTACTGTAGAAATCCTGAAAAAATCAGTACTAAAGATTTTTGTTCAAAGGAGTTATCAGGAAAAAAAACTAGCGTTAGCGACATGACACCAAAAAGGACATCGACTTCCACTTTATGCATTTTAGTTTTCAAAAATCTTGAATTGAGGGAGCGTTTTCGAAAACTAAATAGTGCATGCTGTAAGCAACTTCTTAGGCTATAAAATATCCATGCAAAGTTTTTTCTAAGCATACCTGTTTTTCAAAAAAAACGATTTACTTTTGCTTAGCGATGTGACGAAGTACGAATATACAAACGAAAAAATGCTCTTATAAACGAATGAGAAATTCGAAAACAATTCTAAACGGCACAAATCCGTCCTCGAAATCTCTAGATGATAGTAAGAAAAAAATTTTCGTTTCAGAATTTGACACAGTCTTTAGAAAACTTAGTTTTTCAGAATCGAATCTTGCTGAAAATTTCACCATAGATGCAGATTGTGTCGTAGAGTCTATCTTGAAGTTTTAAGAATTTTTTCTCTTATGGTTGGAGAGATATTCACTAATCATTTTTAATTAATTAACGAGTTAATTAATTAATTAAAATTAATAGTCAGCTAAAAAGAGCCAACATTTATATATATATATATCTATGCTAAAGGAATTTATCCAGAAAAATTAATCCTTGTAAAGAATCAAAGTCAAATGAAAATGGTATGTTCCATTTTTCCTGGCATAGCTCATATATTTGTGCATTCGTGCATCTGTATATTTATGAAATAGGTAGTACTCACAGGCATGTCTCAAATACCCGCCACCAGGAGAACGTTCATTCTAAAATGTTGAACTTAAATTGAGAATAATATTCGAAAAATAACTTACAGCAAAATTAAGAACAATTATTTGAGCATCTTCAGGTACATCAAAAACGGCCTTTTCAATTCCTTTGTTGACATAGGTG